CTGCCGCTATTGCGTTAAGCGTTGACCAAATTTGTTCAGAAATTAAAACAAAAAGCGCGCGACGCCCACGCGTTTAAATCGCGATTTCTGTATGTGTGTGAGTGTGTATCTGTGTGTAAATATTATTAGTTTTTTTTGAGCTTGCCAAAAAAGGCAACGAGCGTCAAAGTTTTTGTTCGCGTTTGCTAAGACGCATTAACAATTGGCACATTTAACGGAAGTTATTGATGTCAATTTGTAAATAGGGAAAGCTGCTCAAATGACATGCGGAAAAAAATTAAAAAAAAAAACTCTGATACAAAATATGTATATTATGCAAAAATAGCCGTAACGAACTAGGCTCAGAGATAAAAAATATAATAAATAGTTAACAACTTCAATTTGCACTTGAAATAAAATAGTTAAAAAAATTGTTTTGAAATAATTTTGAACAAAATATTTATTTTTTCATTTAAAAAAATCAAAGTATAAAAAAAATAAATGGAATAAAAAATCGAACTAGGCTGCTTAGAGATAAAAATATAATAAATAGTTAACAACTTCAATTTGCACTTGAAATAAAATAGTTAAAACAATTGTTGTGAAATAATTTTGAACAAAATATTTATTTTTTCATTTAAAAAAAATCTTTATACTTTGATTTTTGCGTTACAAAAAAAATTGAATAAAAAATCTAATTTTTAATATAGTTATTACTATTACAATTATTATTATTTTTTTTTGCAAAAGCTTTTCCTGTTTTTATATTAGAAAACTGTAACTATATGAACTAGCTTGGGATTCGAACAACAATCTTAATGCATTTGTTGATTCCATAGTGAGTTAGGGGGTTACTTCGAGAGTTAATATATTATCGATGTTAATATAATATCGATTTTGATTTCTAGTGGAATTTGTGCAGCTTGGAATAAGTTAAAGTTGCAGCAGAGGCAGCAGAGAAGTTCCTGAGGCTCCATTGAGAATGTTGCACATAGTTTGTGCTTCAGGAGAATTGAGTTCAATGTGCGTCACTTATGTGACTGGCCAATTTAATTGTCACATTAATGGGCTGGCATCACGGGCAGGGAGGGAGGCGCAGTTCTGCTGGCGGCAACTGTGCCCCATGTCTAGTTAGTCACCTAAAGGGCAACTATTTGCTTGGCTTGGCTGACAGCCGCCAGATGATTTTACTCGACTGCACTTCACACACGCACACACACACACACACATAGTTATCAGAGTTGAGGCAACTCGCGGGCACTCTTCGGTTCAATGCACCCGGTTGCACTAAAAGCAACTGCAACTGCAACTGCAACTGCAGCAGCGGCAGCAGCAGCAACAACATGCAGCAAGCACTTCAACCGCACTTTGTCGTCATCCGCATCCTTGTCATCAACGTCGTCATCGTCATCGTCGTCTGTCAAAGGCAAAAAGATTCTTCAGCTGTTTGTTCAAATGCGTCAAAGCCTGCAAAATGTTATTGTTAGCTAGAAGTGCTGCAAGAGTTTAAGAGTGGCAAGAGGAAGCGGCAGCAGCAGCAGCAGCAGAGGCAGGGGCAGGGGCAGAGGACTAGTGCCACTGAGTGCACTTTGCTTCTAGGCAAATGCATTTCACCCACACGGCTCACAGTCATAAGCGGAATTGACGCTGTCTCTTTCACTCTCCGCCTCTCTCACTCTGGCTGTGTCTCTCACCTTCGCTCCAGCTTTGCCTCACCTCGTTTCGTCTGCCGCTTTTGGGCAATTGGAGCTGCAACTGGCTAACCTTTTGCTACTGCCGCTGCTGCTGCTGCTGCTGCTGTTGCTGCCTAGCAATTTACACCTTGTTAACAAACTATTTTTTGTGTTTTTGTTTTTCAATTTAGATTTTTTTGCTCATTTGCAATACAAATTTAGCGCAGTTGATGTGAGGATTGGGTGGGCGCCAACGAATCATTGCTTTGCTTTTTGTGTGCGTTTGTTGGCCAGGCCCAAAGCCGAGTTGAGTTGAAGTCGAATGCATCGAATGACCAAATCCCAAATTCAAACAATTTCCGAATTGCAAATCAAAAGTCCTAAAGCTGAAAGAAGTTCGAGTTCAATTGGATAAGTAAACGAAAACAAGTTCTTCTAGTTAGCAAAATTATTGGAAAGCTCTGAGTACGTCAAAAATTGTCTGTAGAATTAGAATTAGTAGAAATGAATTAGTCGGAAATGGATTAAAGATTCGATAAGGCTTAAGGGATCGATGGGATTCTGAGCCCATTACATAAGCTTTTCATCTTATTTTATAATATGTTTGAGTCAAAGATTCTCACGCGAAATGTAGGAAGTGAACTCGATAGCAGTACTATCGATAAATATCGATCGACAACAGTTGTCATTAGTTGCATTCCGAAGTAGCAAATATTTCATTCAAATTCCTTGATCTACACGTGCCATTCTCTCTCTCCACTCTCTCCCTCCTCTCTCTTACTCACACTCTCTCTCAGCTTAAGCTCCAAGTGCAGCATCTTAGCCTTAGATGCCACCCCAGCCCAGTCTCCCTGCCCTCTCCTGCCCAGCCCCACAAAACCACGGCACGTGCACGCGCCTTGCGTTTTTCGAGCTGTTTTAAACGCCACCTTATTTGGCCGTCATCTCCGTTTGGCGCTTGAAGTTGTCGAATTGTGCGTCACTAAGTTCGAGCCAAGCCATGCCTTGTATGTGCCTGCCAGAGCTACTAAATGCCAAAAAAGAACAACAGAAACAGAAACAGACATGGATCGATACAGCTGATGGCTCGCAAATCGCTAATCGCGAATCTCGCCCGGATCGATCGCTGTCGCTGCCAAAGCTGACCATTTTAGAAGCTGCTCGTTATACAAATTCACACTTGACCAGAAGCCCCAAACACGCACAGCACTGTGGAGTCGAGCACTCAAAACAATTTGAAATTTAATTATGGAACAATCTAACAAAAGCTCAAAGTCAACGAAAAAACTTTATAAATACATCCTCTATACATTACTATAGAGAGCTTAAAATATAATTTTTGCTAACTCCATTAACTTGGCTCTTTGCTCTACTATTTGACTGCATATTTATTTATATTCTGTAAAAAAACAATTAAAATTTTTACATGGCAGCCAAAGGCTTCCCCCTTTTACGGCTTGTAGAATATTTTATCGTAAGTATTTTTATTGCTTTGCTGAACTATTTAATCAGCACAAACATTTGCTCGCTGTTGAGTTTAGAAAATGTTCTGTGTTGTAATATGAATTGTTGTATTACGATTATTTTAAAAGATATTTGCGCTATGCGCTCCACGGTGCCACTGTAGCTCGTTGCCAGATTTAATGAAGCATTCAAAAAAAAAGGGCAATGCGCGTGGGAGTGGCCGGTCGCGGCAGCGATGACAATGACCAACCATGAACTCGCACACACGCACACACACACACACTCGCACACACACACACACACACATCTATGAAAGCCCATTAGCCTGAATGCGCCCTGTGACAAGGTTTTGTAGAGTAACCTTTAAAGTTCACTGCCCAGCTGCTGGGCAGTCACTGCTGCTGCTGCTGCTGCTAAGAACTGCTGTGCGCCTACGCAACATCTTCAGTTAGCGCAGCTCAGCTGCGTCATCTGCCAACAGCGTCGAGTTGTGCCTTACGTAAGAGCGAGCCACGAGAGCAGCAGCAGCTGGATGCGTGGAAGACCTTGCCCAATTAGTCGCAAGAAATATTTTGTAATTAAATGAAGTTAAAAACTAAAAAAAAAAAAAGAAAAACGTTGCTGTGCGAATGCACCTGCAAGTGGCACGGAATGTTGACAAGGCTTGGCAACATGTTGCCAAAGGCAGATGCAAATGTTGCTGGCGCTAATTGAATAGAGCCTGGCCGGGTCTGCGGTTGCAGCTATCTGCGGCACGGCTGGCCGTTCGTGTTGCATGCATCTCCGTTGCGTGGCAAGCACGAAATATATTTCACTTTAATGACCACAGCAGCCCGTTGCACGTTGTCCTCAAGCTTCGACACATTTGACAATTTGTGAATGTGGTTTGTTGTTGGCGGCAGCATGCAGCATGCAGCATGCAGCAGGCAGAGCAGCCGCCAGAAGTCAGCTATCAGAGTCTGTTGTCCATTGACTGTCAAAGTGACTCCCCGTCTGGAGGGGGCATGCAACAATTAGAAACCAGTCCGCGTTAAGGCGACGACAGTTGCCCAGCAGCGCTCATGGTATACCCTAACCACGGCCATAGCCGGGCATACCAATGCAGATAGCCAAATGGAGACTGCCTCACAAAATAATGATTAGAAAACTGAAAATAAGGAAATTCCATTCTATAACCTGAACTGAAGACCTAAGCAGAGAGGCTCAAGGATTGAGAGTGGCGTTTAACCAGCTTAAGAACTGCTCACTTAATAGTCCAGGGCTTGAAGTACGCAATTGTAGTGAAGTAATTGAATAGTCTTCTTGGAGCTTTCATTATGCCAGGTGCCGAAGTCTTGTTGGCATGGATGGACGCTTGCGTGATGCGACTGCTCCTGAGCTGCAGCTGGAGCTGGGGCTGGGGCTGGAGCTGCAGCTGCAGCTGGGACTGGGGCTGGGGCTGGGCCAACTACTTACCGACTTATTTGGTATGCCAGATTTGTCGCTGTTGTTGTTGTTGGCATTTGCCGGAAGCGCAATTGCTTCATTATGGCACGTACTTTGTCAAAGGCGTTTCGTTGACGCGACTTTGACGTCGCCATAGCCATAGCCATAGCCATAGCCTCGCGCTCCGTGCCCCGCGCCCTCCCAAGGCCTCCTCTCATCTACCGTTTGCTTGTCATTCCGCTCTTCGATGAGTGGTTGACTCATGTTGGGATGTCTCACGTTGTCTCATGCTGTTCTGTTGTTGCAGTTGGCCGACAATTGGGCAGTCTTTATGAATGAAGCTCGGGGCGCGTGTGGGCTGCCCGATTGCAGCTGATCCGGTTTGCTAGCCAAAACAAAAAGCAAACATAAACTAATCCGTTGACATTTTCTTCTCTTCTCCATTCCAATTTATTGCAGGGGCAAATTCGCGGCAGTTCGTCGCGCGATACACAAGAATTCCGGTTCGCAATTCGCTGCCAAATTCCTAAAGCGACGCCGACGCGCACAAAGCAGCGACAAGGAGATCAAGCACGAGATTGCAGTCCTGATGCTCTGCAAGGGCGAGGACAACATCGTCAACTTGAATGCTGTGCATGAGACGCGCTCCGACACGGCGCTGCTCCTGGAGCTGTAAGTATTGAATAACTAACTGCAATTGCACTGAGTTCCAGGCCCCAATCAAGGCGCCTTCGTCCACTTTAGGCACTCGGACTGCGACAGCAATTGCATACTTTCAGCTGATTTGTGTAGGCAAAGGAACAGTCTCAAAGCTAGTTAAAATATGAATGCAAAGCTCTGCAAATCACATTTAAGAAACGCACAAAGATCAGGCCAGCAGAGTGCCTTGAGCTACTCGATGTAGCTCAGTCTTAGGACCAAGCTGAGAAAGCCTTGCACGAATAGACCCCAGTTACTGGGGACAAGCCAACTATGAAAACATCAATCAATGAGCACCAAGCAGTTGGCTACGCTCTCCTTTGTTAATGTCCTAAATCCATTTAATGTAGGCAATCAGAAAGAAAACATTTTCCCACAGCGAAAGCTTGGACTGTCGAAGACATCTGCACCTGAATGTCATAATTGGGTTAATCTAGAGCCGCAGTTAGCACAGAATGAACATATGCAGGGTATGGCATAGTCAATCACTCCCGGCTAGAGCAGTTCCCGAACTGACTGCATTAGAATACAGCAGAGTACGTACTACATGATTAATTCGACTCCGTTTCAGGGCCACTGGCGGCGAGCTGCAAACGATACTGGACAACGAGGAGTGTCTTAGCGAGGCGCAGGCGCGCCATTGCATGCGCGAAACGCTGAAGGCTCTGAAGTTCTTGCATGATCGCTCCATAGCCCATTTGGATCTGAAGCCGCAGAACATTCTGCTGACGGGCGAGCGTATTGAGGGTGCGTTTCCAGAGAGCACAGCCAATTGCTGAACGCAACTAAACGTCTTGCTCGCTCTCCACTTTCAGATGGCCTCAAGTTGTGCGACTTTGGCATCTCGCGCGTCGTCTGCGAGGGCATCAATGTGCGCGAGATGGCCGGCACCCCGGACTATGTGGCACCGGAGGTGCTGCAGTACGAGCCGCTGTCGCTGCTGACGGACATTTGGTCGGTGGGCGTGTTGGCCTATGTGTTGCTATCGGGCTTCTCGCCCTTCGGCGGCGATACCAAGCAAGAGACCTTCCTCAATATCTCACAGTGCGCCCTGACCTTTCCCGACAATCTCTTTGGCGGCGTCTCTCAGGCGGCAATCGATTTCATACGTCGCGCATTGCGAATTAAGCCAAAGTGAGTGCGAGTGACTCCACAGCTCTACAAAAATAACTCTCTTTCTATCTGTGTATCTTTCTCTGCAGCGATCGCATGAATGCCGCTGGCTGCCTGGAGCATGTCTGGCTGAAGGACGAGTGCTCTTTGAATAGGCAAATCTATTTGCAAGCTCAGCACGATGCAGACTTTGTGCAGGACGATGAGGACGAAGACGACGACGATGATGAGGAGGACGAAGAGGAAGATGATGATGAGCAAGGCATAAAAAATGTCTCTCAGCAGCAGCAACAGCAACAGCAACAGCAACAAAATGGCACAACAACAGCAGCAACAGCTGCTGCTGCAACACCAGCCAGCAAAGCCACTCACAATGGGCACAGAGCACACTCCAGCTCGAAGATACCAATTGCCACTAGCCACAAGCTGAGCCCCAGCACAGAGACAACAACGGCCATACACACACTGCCCCAAGCGCTGACCATGTCGCTGGCGACAAATGCAACAAAACCCACGCAGATTGTGACACCGATTCGACGCGCCTCCGATTCGGATAAGGAGAACACATACACGGCGACGTTTGTTAAGAAGCCGATGGCCAGCACGGCCACCATTCAGATTGGAAGCAATGGACTCGAGGAGACGACAGTGATTGCCACATTGGCGCTATTCCCGGACGCGCCGACCACACCTAAAGTCATACGCAAGACACCCGCTGCGGAGGCCAGTGCGGCGACATCGGTCAAGGCGTTGGTCAAGAAGTTTCAGCTGGACGAGCTCGAGGCGCACAACAGCAACGCGAATAGCAATTTGGCGTCCACAATTACGCAGCTGCAGCTGCAGCAGCCCCGCAAATGCTCAGTGCCCAGTATTGCGATGCCAACGAGCAGCAGCAGCAGCAATATGCGTCGCAGTATCAGCGGCACTGCCAGCAGCAGCAACAGCAGCAACGGCAGCAACGGCAACGGCAACGGCAGCTGCAACAATGTGCGACGCGCCTCAGAGCCGCTAACCGCTGTGCACAAGAAGCAGCATAATATCAGCCCAAACTCCATTTCCAGCAGTAACAGTAATACCAACAGCAACAGTAGCAACAGCAGCAGCAGCAGCAGTTCAGGATCCAGCAACAATCCCAGCGGCAGCGGCAGTGGCAGCAGCAGCAGTAGTGCAGGTGGCAGCAGCACGGCGTTGCTATTGAACGGACGTTTGCCAGCGGCAGCTGCAGCGGCAGCGCATCATTTGCATCATCATCACATGCACCATCATCATCATCATCATCATCATCATGTGGTGATCGCTGCCAAGAACGCCGCTGCCGCTGCCACCAACAACCTGAGCTTGGACCAGGGCATCATCTGTTAGCTAAGGGCCAATCGTGTGCGCCGCAATGCCAAAAGTTTCTTTCACCGCTTCCTTTGCTGCATGTAGCAGTGCCTCAACGTGTAGGCGTGGTCAGCGCCCTAGCTGCCGATTGCCCACCAGAAAGAGAAGGAGGGGGCCTGGATCAGCTGCCAGCAACTGTGGCAGCTGCAATCCCAACGTCGACGTCTACGCGTGTGTTGCGGGAAGTTTTGTTTGATTTTGAGTTTCTTAGTTAATGTTATTAGCGTCTAGTTGATCTAAATAGAACACCACCCACACGCCCATACACTTACCACTACACGCCCCACTAACCCAGCCGATTTCCCAAGTTACCCCAAATACTGTTAAGTTGATCTGGAAATATATAAATATAAATCTACATAATAATTACACATACACACACACACACATATACATATATATGTATATAGATAAGTACCCATGCGTATGTAGATGAATATCGAGTATTTCGTAAGCTGTTGCCGTTGTCTTTGGCATTATTGTGTCGGGCCGCAAGTGGATAGCGTTTAGAAGAACGATGAGCGAGAGGGAGATAGAGAAAGGGAAGGAGAGATGAGTAGCAAAAGGGAGTCAGAGAGAGAGAGAGAGAGTGGGAGGGAGAGGAAGAGTTAAAGGTTGCAACGTATTGGCCAAATTGCAAATTGCAAATTGCAATTATCTAAAATAAAAAAAATATATATTAAATATAAAGAAGAATGAAAAGAAGATTTGAGACATATCAATCGTTGTGTTGTGCGTGACTCTGTGTGTGTGCGTGAGTGTGTGAGTGCGCGGGCGTCTGTGTGTTAGAGTCGTCAGGCAACGCTTAACGTGTTTCAACGAAGCCAATTCTGTCAATTCTGGAAACGTCTGCATAGCATAAATTATACAAATTCTACAAATTCTGCCAACTAAAGGGAAACACGCAGCAATATTTGTTGGGGTTTGTGAACAAAAGAGTATCTAAATGTCTGTTTTCCTTTCGAGTTGGAGTTGCAAATCGTCTATACATATATACAATGTTGAGCGCCATTCGGCAATTGTTTGTTACATAGTTCAGCATAATACATACATACATTACTTATAACCAAATGTATACATTAAACAGATTTTTGCATTAAGCACACTGAATATGAATACGAATATGAATATGTAGTTGGAGTTGATTGTTCAAGCGTTACGCATATACATACGATACATATATATATACATACATGCATACATTTATATATAGAGAGAGAGAGTGTTATCAGCTTAAATGAAAATGTTTGCAAAAGAGAAGAAAGGCGAAGCGAATCGAATTGTTATCTATGTGCGTGTTCATTACATAATGTCGTCTATATGGCCCAAACATACAAACATACATATACCTGCTTAAATATGAGAACTTGTTCTATTTATTAAAAAGTGTACCTAAAATTAAGTTTTGATTTTCGATCGATTTGAACTATTCTATTTCTACTACCTGCTCTCGCGCCTCCCACCTGTCGCTCCTCTAACATTTTTTTGTCTTGATATAATATAATATTTATCGAGTTTTTAGTTGCAAAATCGGTTACTTTTTGTACATACAATATTTAATACTTCAGGGCCCCGATCGCAGGCACTGAGCTTGGCGTGGGACACGGATATTTCTTCGTTTTTTTTTTTTATTAATTTCGCATAAGGTCGAGCATGAGTTAAGTATGCATTGTATTTATTAGGCAAAGGCTTTGTGTATCAGTGGTCAGTTGATTGTTAAACTGAATAAATAATTTATAATATTTACTCGAGTAGTGGAGCCCTCTTTTATTTTGATTACGATTAAACGATTATTTCTTATTTAAACAACCTTAAAGCATATTACTTTTCTCCTCTTCTTCGCTTACTGTATATTAATAGTTAAATAAATGCAAGAGCGCAGCAACAATTATAAGCAAAAAGTTGAAAAGTTGAGAAAGTACGAGATTTTCGTGAATTGTGCGTTTTATTTGATAGTAATTTTTAAATTTCATATTTTTTTGTTTAGTTCAAAGAAGACGGCAGATGAAAAGTTAAAAAAAAAAAAACAAGCAAAAAAAGAAAGATGAAAATTCTATATTATACATTATACATAGTAATTATTTTATAGATAACTAATTTAAAATGTATTCAATAAAATTTAAAAAACAAAAAATATATCGAACTGTTTCGCATTGGTGAATTATTGGCTCAGCTACTCAAGCATATATGGAGGTATCTCGTAGTTGCTGTAGACGCCCGAAAATTTGATTACCCAGCCGATGCCGTCGTAGTTGACCGACTTGTGGAAACGGACGGACAGCTGGCTGCGCTTGCTCAAGTAGATGCGGGGCTTGTCTTCGCCACAGAAGCGTCGCATCTCCTGCAGCTCGTTGCGCTCGTTCTGCTCCTGGATCAGCAGGTAGTCCGTATGGCAAGTGGCCTTCGAGCCCAGATTGAAGACTGCAAGCAGAGACATGTAAGAAATATATCTGGAACTCTTTCTAATTGGGCTATTTACATTCAAAGTTGAGCAGGACGCGCGTGTTGCTGGGCACACGAATGCTCCAGAGACAGTCGGAGTTGTTGCGCACGTTCTGCGGATAGAAAGGATTGGAGAAGATGCCCTCGGTGTTGTACAGCTTGCCTCCGCAGCCGGGCCCATCGGCGACAGGTGTGGCAATGTATGTCACGTCGAAGCTGTTGAAGTAGCTGCCCGTCTTGAAGTGCAGGCGCAGCTCGTTGGTCGACGTGAAGAGGCTCTTGCCGGGGTCCATATAGGAGCACACTCGCTGCAGCGACTTGTTGCTGGACTTCTCGAAGACCTCGACGTGCTCCACGTCACAATCGGACGAGCCAAAGACCACCTCAGAATAGTAAAGGCTAAGCGTGTGATTGGCCGGTGCCAAGATTTCGGCATCGCAGTCAAGACTTTCCGAGATCTTGAGGCGTCCCTGCAAGCCACCATAGCTATACTTGCAGGTCGCGTCCGGCACAATGAGAATGCGAAAGCCGGACCTCGTAACGGCACTATTGGTACGGAACTTCACGTACACCCGCTTCGACTTGGGGTAGTAATCATCCGGCAAAGCATTGCCACAATACACATGCTCCAAGGAATATTCGTAATACAGAGGCGAATACTTTCGTCCATTGAAGACCACCTCATCGCCATAGCCCTGCTCCACCAGTTGCGCATCCTACATGAAATAGAAATGTCAAAATGAACTCTTCTCCTCTGCGGTTTCAATTCACTTTGAAGTCGATATATCAAGGACCTCAGCAGAACAAATACAATACATAAAGGTAAGGGTACCTTTCCATAAGAAAATAGTGTGAGACCTGGGTATGGATTCTAATAGCTTCTCCAACCCAACTGAAGTCCTTACCTCAGTACTGTAGATCCTTATGAAGTCCGAGTCGCAGCTGCCCGTCGCATTGGGCGCCTCCAGGTCGAGGCTGATAAATTTGAGATGCAGCGATATTTCGCTCTCGATCTTCCACAAGCAGAAGACGTTGTTGTCGTAGTTGCCCTGATCATTGACCGGGGAACGCAGCTCGTGGGGCTGTTTGCCATCCAGTTTAATCAGCGAGCTGCCGCACTGCAGCGGCCTGGCCGTAACAATCAGCTCGAAGCCGGTATCCGTGCCTTTAGAGTCGGTGACGAAACGCATGAAGAGCACGTGACGCGATGCGGTTAGCGTGGGGGGTAAGTTTTGGCCACAGAACTTGCCGATCTCGTCGGCAAACGGTCCGGCGCCATCGCGCAACTCCAAAAAGTCGCCGGAGCAGTCCTTCGTCTCTTCCACGTGAAAGCTGCGGAACTCGACGCTAATCTGAAAGCCGGCGTTCGCCCGGAACTTAAAGCTGCAGTCCAGATTGTTTGCATAGGAGCCGACAAACTTGTTGAACGTATAGCTGGCATTGTGCTCGCCCAGGTAGATGCTCTCATCGCAGTTGGGCATAATGCGCACCAGCGCCCGGAAGCCAACTGACGGATCCCGGTCATCCGAATAGCTGTGGATCAGCGCCCGATTGGTGGGTATGTGCAGCGTGGGCAGATTATCGGTCAGGCGTCCGCAGAAGCATGCCATGCGTTGCTTTTCGTCCGGCACGGGGCTGGAGAAGACCTCGACGCCATCGTAGCTGCACAGCTGATTGCCGTCCTCAAAGTCGAGCAGCTCGAACTTGATAGTAAACTTGTGGCCCTCCGGCGCTGTCAGATTCCAATAGCAGTCGCTGTTGTGCGGCATCAGATTGTCCTGATGCTGCCGCTGTGACTCCACTATTTGCGATGACCTGACGACGCCGCCGCACAGATTCGTAGTATACTCCAGCTTGAAGCCACGCCCGCTAAACGAGCTGTCCGACCGGAACACGAAGCTAATGGAGCTCTGGGCGCGATAGGCATATTGATTCTTGTGGCCGCAGATCACAACCTCCTGAGACTTGTCGTTGTCGTCGCGCGTCGTCACCGTCACATTGTCGAACATGCAAGCACTCATTGGCGAGCGCTCCAAGTCGAAGTCGACTAGGCTCACCAGCACGCCGACTGCATTGGTGTCGCGAGGCCTGATCGTATAGTTGCAATAGAGATTCTTGGCGTAGCCCTTCGGGTAGCCCGGACTGATGATCTCCTGCGTCTCGGGGCTGGCTAACAGAACGCCGCCGCAGATGCGCTCGAATAGCGCACTGAACCCATCGCCCGTTACGTCGCCATCCGAGCGAAAGATTAGCCGCATCATTGGACTCGTGGATTCAATTATGTTGGGCGGGTTGCGCCCACAGAGGGTCGTCAGGTCCGTCCAATTGCCCAGCGACAAGTTGCTGCTGTTGCGCTGTTGGACACGCAAATAGTCCTTGGCGCACTTGGCGCTGTCCTCAATGTAGAAACGTCCCAGGAACGAGAGCGCAATGTGAAAGCCCGGCTCGGCCTCGATCTCCCAGATGCACTCCACGTTGTTCTTGTACTGCTCGCTGAAGTCAATTATGCGATACGGATAGGTCAGACGGCCACCGCAGCCGCTGCCGTATTTGACGGTCACATTGAAGCTGGAATTGCGATTGGCGTTGGCCGGCGACTCCAAATGATATTCCAGGAACAGACCTCGCTCGACCACCAAGTTTATGGCCGTCACCTGATTGCAATAGCGACCCATAACCGGAGAGTTCTGGTCGGGACCGCTGTAGAGCACGAGGTAGTGCAGCTGGCAGTCGCCTCCGAGATTAGCGCTCACGGACACCTCCAGCTGCACGTCCTGCGGGGAAAGCGGCTCCTCGAGCGTTTGATCCGGCCCGACGGCCCAGGCGCAGTTGATAGTCTGCTCACCGGCCAGGTGGCTGGGCTGTGTGATGGTTATGTTGTCGCCCAGCTCCAGGGGCACAATGCCACCACAACGCTGCAGGCTGTAGGCCAGCTGGAGCAGCTGCAGGTTGTTGCGTCGGTTGCCCGTGACGGTCATGACAACGGGAAAAGGCAAACGCACGCTGCGAGAGGACAGATTCGCCTGGTTGTCCTGGCTGTCCTGGTTGCCCTGACAGAGCATCATCGGCAGCAGCGGCTCAGACTCGTCTGGACGTATCAGCTTGAGGGGCGTCATCACGCGGCAGATGTGACTGTTGCTCATGAAGGCGAACGTCGTGTTGAAGCGCTGCACCTGCAGCAACAGCGTGCTATTCTGCGGCGGTCGCAGCTCGTAGCTGCAGTGCACCAAGCTGCTGTCGTTTTGCCTGCTGAAGAGCAACATGCCGCTGACAGTGAAGTCGAGTCGGGCGCGACATTCGCTCTGACCGAAGGCGCTGAAGCGCAACTTGAATCCGCGATGCTGGCTGAAGGGCAATATGAATGCATCGATGCCCATCGTGTTGTCCGTGGAGAGGACCTCCGCGGGCGGATTGTACGCATAGCGTCCAATGACGGACTGCATCTTGTGGTCGTTGGAGAAGGTGATGCGCCCGCGGAAGCTGCTGTGCGTGTTGTTCGTGGTGCCCCCATTGTCAAAGTCCAGTATTTCCACCTTGACGCGCCGTCCCTTGGGCACCTGAACGCGCCAGACACAGTGCGTTGGCACGCGGACACCCGAAGGGTAGTTCGGTGTCTGCAGCACGCCCTGCACAGCGTGGATGGTCTCCCCGCAGCGAGCTCCGATTGCGCTATAGCGCAACTGGAAGCTCTGGTCGCTGCCCAGTTGCCCGCTGGGCATGCGCAAGTGGATCACAATTTTGTTGGTCTCCACGAGAAAGTGTCGCTCGGAATTGCCGCAAATCGTCAGACGGTCACTGATGGTGTCGCCAAACGGCTCTATCTCCTCCAGCTCCAAATGTGTGTGCTCTGTGCAATTGCCATTTATCGCCTGCGGCAGCTGCATCGTCTCGAACTTCAGGTCGATTGTGCTGCCCTTTTCCACCTCGATGGTGAAGACGCACTCCTTAAGCTTGTTCGTCTGCAGGTGCAGCTGCAGCTGCTCCGCGCTGGGCGAACGGATCAGTCCACTGGCGCTGTAGTAGCTGCCGCCGCAATCGGCCAGCTTGATGACCGCCTGGAAGCCCGAATGGGGCTCCAGTACGCTCGTGTAGAACTTCATGCGGAGCTCGCTGCCCGAGGTGTAGACGATGTCCGGCTTGCGATTGCCACAGAAGCGACCGAGCTGGGGCATCAGCTCAGTGCTGCCATCGTTCAGCTGAACGAACTCGCGATCGCAGCCATCCTCCTCCGCACTGCTGTGGCTGAGGCTGCTCGCTGTCAGATCGAAGTTGCCAATGAACTGCACAGCGATGCGATGATGGGGCGGCGCACTGATGCGCCACACGCACTCCGAGTGCGGGTTCGGTAAATTGGGATAGTTGGGAGAGCTGATGAGGCGTTCGCTATTATTGCCGGGTCCCTCCTCGAGCACGATATGGCCGGAACAGGCGTGGCCCAGCTCTTCGTATCGGAAGGCGGCACGGAAATATGGAAACAGCTTCTTTTGGAACTTGACGTAAGCCCGGTTCGAGCTGGTCTCCAGCACATCGGTAATGTTGTTCTCACAGTATTTGCCACGGCCAAGGAAAGGCGAATCCTCCGCATAGCCATTGCGCACCAGAAAGAAATTGGCACAGCTATCCACTTCAACGACACTGTTGGGAGAGTTCAGCTGCGATTCGAGGAATGTGATCCGTATGCGCTTGCCCTGGCGCACCCGTATCGTCCAAATGCACTCCAGGGGATTTATCAAGCTGTTCAGCATCAGCTCCGTTATGTTGACCGTACCCTGTTGGGCTGTCAGCTCCGAGCCGCACATGGTGCGAAGCACGCTCGCGAACCCCGTCCTGTTGACGCTGGCATCGGTGACGAACTGCAGGCGCAGGTACGGCTTGCCATGGTAGACCGGCTTCTCGGTATTATTCAGCTGTTTGCATACCTTCGTGAGCTGCGTCCAGCTCTGCATATCACTGCTGCTGGAGACAACCAAAAAGTCGGCGAAGCAGGCATCCGAGAACTGCTCGAAGTCAACCGTGTTTAGCTGTACGGCTGCATGTGTAGCCGGGTTGCTTGGCACTAGGGTCCAGGTGCAGTTCAGGTTTTGTGCGTAGCCCAGTGGGTAGCCGGGCGAGTTGAAGGCGACGATGGAGCGATTCAGGGCGACCAACTGCTGGCCGCATTGGCGTGCCTGCAGCTCGGCAGTGCGATTCGAGGCCAATGCCTCCTTGGACAAGCGCTCCCAACTGAACTGGAACGGACCCCGCGTGGCCTTGACGAAGATCACATTGGTGCTAGAGATGAGTGGCTTATATGGCTGCACCGCCAGCTGGGCGCCGATGTCCGTGTACCCATTGTAGAAGCGAACATGCTGCTGGTCCACATCACGCAAATGATCCAAGTTCAACAAGACCACGTACCCCGTGTCGACAGTGATGCGCCAACTATATGGCTCATTGCTCTCAAACTTGTCCGGGTAATGCGGCGATTCCACCTTGCCCCGTGTCCCGTTCAGCTCATTGTGTTGCTCTGCAGGAGGTTTTACGGCTGTTAGTCAAGTGCAGGAAGCAGGAGTTGGGGTCTGACGACTTACCATAGTTGTAGCTGGCCATGAAGCCCTCGCCGACCACGTCATCGTTGCTCTTGAACTTGAGCCAAATGCTGCCCTTGGAATGTATCGTCGGCGGCATCTGGTTGCCACAATAGACTCCAATAAGAGCGCCGCGTGGGGTTTCTTCGCGCAACTCCAGGTAATCATTGTTGCAGCCCTCGGACTGTTCCAGATCAAGCGACTCAATGGTTAGCGAGAGCGAGTTACCCTCGCTGGCCTCCAGAATCCATTCGCATTCAATGTTCACCGGATAGCTGTCGGGGTAATAGGGCGACGTGAATCGACCAGAGAGTCCATTGTAGGTGCTGCCACACATCGTGTCCAGAGTCATGTAATGGCCCTCGAACTCGGCGACCAGCGCCATAGGCACGCTAACTGTCAAAGCATGGCCACGCGATATGATCGCCGGGGGATGGGAGCGGCAGAATTGCAGCCGTGGTCTGCCCGTAGGCGTGATGCCCTCGTAGACCTGGACGCCGTAGGCCAGGCAGTCACCCTCTTGGGGATAGAGGGCCGAGGCTGCACTGTGCAGCTGGATGTGCGTGGGCGTGAAGATGATGTGCTTGCTCGGGTCGGCGGCCTGCAGCACCCAGACGCAGGTCTCGTTGCGCGCCACCTGATGCGACAGGACCAAATACTGAAAGTCTGTCTCGTCGATGGACAGTTTCTGGCCACAGGACTCGCGATACTGCAACTGAAAGCCTCCGCTCTGCACGGAATCGTCCGTGACAAAGCGCACAACGGCCCGGTTCGTGGCAGACTCGTTTCGCGCTGGCAGTGACTCGCCTCCTCTGCCGCACAATTTAAATATCTGATGGCCCTCGCTGTCATCGAGCGTATCGCTGTCCGTGTCACTCTCGCCAATGCCACTGCTGCCGCTCATATCGTAGGCAGCCACATAGTCCCAGCCGCATTCGTAGCCCGACTCCAAGTTCATGATGTTTATATCAAAGATGATCGTGTGATGAGGCGACACCTCCAGCAGCCACTCGCATTCGCTGTTGCGCGGGTAGGGCTTTGGATAGTTCGGCGACTGAATGATGCCACTTTTCGTCGACAATTTGCCACCACAAGCTGCAAGGGTGATCAGATTAATCAGCTAAAGTCCGACATATCTCATCTAGCTTTCTAGCTCCCATTAAGGCACACCTCAATCCTCCCCTCCTGTGCACACTCAAAGTCTTCCCGATTATCCTAACACACAAATATAACAACATATATCTAGCTTTGTCCTCACAGGAACTGTCGGACAACCGGACTAAATGTGGAGTGTGGGTGGGTGAACTCAAGCAGACAGACAGCTGTCCAGCTCTCAGCTAGGATATCAACTTACGGCTTTTTATAACGCGATAGCTGGCCTCGAAGCCCAGTCCGTTGTGTGAGCTGTCGGTGATGAGGCGCACGTGCAGCTTGTGCCCGGCGCTGGTATAGATCAGCTTGGCATTCCGGCCGCAGTGTCTGTTATGGACGTTGACATCACGGAAGCTATTTGAAATCTGCGAAAGGAGGAAAGCTAATCGATGCGGTCAAATGAGGATGTAGGTGACTGACCACAAGGGCATCCTTGGTACAATTGACGCTCTCCTCGATGTCCATGTCCTGGACAGTCAGCTCAATGACCTGGCCGGGCAGTGCGTGTATCAGCCAATAGCATTCCAGGTCGTTTGGATACACTAGCGGATGCTTGGGCGAACGGAATGAGCCCGTCTCGCCACGCAGCTCCTGCAGGCAGCCGTCGACGCGGAACTCCAGGCGGAAGTTGATTCTGCTCGTATTGTGGACAATTGTCAAGACATCGCCTTTGGAACTGTACGCGTTCAGGCCTAGCACGGGCACCACGCTAGCGCCGTCAATCAGGTAGACACCACCATCCGCGTCGGTGGGCAGGCGCATTTCCCGATAATCAAAGTGTGAAAACTCCAGACGAATATGATTGCCGCGAGGCGGTCGCAGCTGCCAGCTGCAGTTGACGACGCCCTCGAAGAAGGCCTCGCCATAGTTGATGCTCTCGATGACGCCCTGGGTTGTGTTCAGTATGTTCTGGCAGACGGCGCTGTAGGACAGCCGAAAGCCGCGATCCGCATTATTAATATCTGAGTGGAAGACAATGATTGCCTCATTGTCATCGATGTGCAGCACGCGATTGCGTTCGTCCGGCATGGAGCACAGCAAGAAATATGTTAGGTCCAGAAGTCGGCTGCTGCTGCCGCCGTTGTAGATGCGCAAGTAATCGTAGCTGCAGTCGTAGAGGTCTTCCATCTCCAAGTCCTCAATGACTATCTGCAAGCTGGAGCCGGAGTGAACGCGCAGCTGCCACTCGCATTGCGCGTTGTGCGGATAAGTGCTGGGATAGTTGGGCGAGGTGATGACGCCTCCATTGCCAATCAGACGACCGCCGCAGCCATTGGCAAAGACGCGCCACGACAGTCGGAAGCCACGAGCGACGTCCACATCATCCGTATGGAAATGCAGATAGAGATCGTGAGTAAAGCTGGGTATACGTCGCGGTATGTTCGTGCCGCAGAAGCGTCCGATCAGGGAGGATCTGTTGCTGCGACCGTTGCGGATCTCCAACCAATCGCCACTGCAGTTGCGTGTGGCTGCCAGCTCGAACATGTCAACCTGCAGCTCCATCTGGCTGCCTGCCGGCGATGTCAGCTGCCAGATGCAGTCGAGTCCGTTGGTGTAGTTCAGCGGGTATTCGGGCGAGTTGAGCATGCCGTTGGAGGCGTGTATATGACCGCCACAGGTGTTACGCTCGACGAACCGATAGGACAGCTCGAAGCCATTGGCCACATCGCTAAAGTCCGACACGAACTTGACGGTCAGAAGGCGAGCGTGGCTTAAGAGATCTTCTGGCACATGGGCATCGCAATAGCGGGCCAACGCACTAGCTGGCTTGGCCTCGCCGACAACCAGGCCATCGTAGAGCTCCACATAGTCGTAGCTACAGTCCGAGGTGCCTTCCAACTGGAAACTGAGCCAGTGCAACAGGATGGCCTTAGTCGGCGGTGCCATAATGATCCAATAGCAGGTCAAATCATTTCTATACGAGCCCGTTTCGTCCACCGGCAAACGTATGTTCTGGCCCTCCTTGGTGTGCACGCCACCGCACTGATTGCTCTCCACCGGCACGGCGCGGTAGTCGAAGCGGAAGCCACGACCCGTGCTGCCCAGCTGCGTCTGAAGATGCAGCACTAGCATATTGCTCTGACTAACATATTCCTCCGCGGGCACCTTCTGGCCACAGTAGGGTCCCAGTATGGCGCGGTTGAGGCCGTCATTGATGATCAGAGACGTGCCGCCAATGCATTCCCCAGCCTCATCAGTCTCGTCAGAGTCCGCCTCCGAGGACAAGGCTTCCATCGTCCTATCCGATAGCTGAAAGTCAATGCGCTTCAGCGTAATAACCGTGTTGGGCTCAGTCAAGATCTTATATGTGCAGAGTCGTGTGCTGCTGGTCGAGTTGGGGTAGCCAGGCGAGGTGATGCTTCCGCTGACCGCATCGTAGGTGTGTGAGCAGTCCATGTGATAGTGCAGCTCGAAGCGGTCGACCACGGCACTGGGCGCATTGCTGGTGTAGAACTTGACGCGCACGCGATTGTAGAGCGAATGGAAGCTGGGCGGCAGTGAGCTAGCACTTCCGCAGTGCTTGCTTTGGAGCACGGACAGAAGGCTCGCCTGGACATTGGGCGTATTCATGACGTCGTACAGCTCAATGCAGGAATCCACTGCAAGCTCGAAGCTGTTGAAGTCCAAGCTAATGGACTCACCCAATGCCAATCGTATCTCGTACTCGCATGAGATGGCGCCCGTGCCTAGGGCATAGTTTGGAGAGCGTATGGTACCCTCCTTGCTGGTGTAGACCCCGCCGCAGCCCGGCAGCCGTTCTTCGGCTGAATAGTGCAGCTGGAAGCCCAAGTCGCTGCCTGTCTCATCCGAATGGAAGCGTATGATGGCCTCGTGTGTGGGCAGCAACAGCGGCGCCGGCCGCTCTCGGCTGCAATACTTGTACAGCTCCCGGTCAGAGATGGCGTCGCTTATCTGAAAGCAATGGGCAAAGGCAATTGACGGAGTTGCTCGACTCTCTACTCCCACTCAAGGCTTACCGAGACGAAGTCAAAGTTACAACTGTCATGCTCCTCCAGCTGAAGGCTGAAGAATGTCAGCTTGATGCGCTTGCTGCTCGGCGCGACCAGACGCCACTGGCAGTCGCGGTTTCGTGGATAATTGCCAGGAGAGCCGGGCGAGGCCAGGGTGCCGTGGGTCTCGAACTCAACGAGGCCGCCACACTGCGGCTCCATCGACTCCCAGGTGAGATCGAAGCCAGCGCGTGCCGTCGAATTGTCGGAGCGGAACCACAAGTAGAGCTGATTGCTGGACGAGATGATGTTGCCGCCGTGTGGCTTGTGATTGCCGCAATAGCGTCCAATGATCTGGGCCGCTGCCGAGCGGCCATCGTTTATCTGCAGCCAATCGAAGCGGCACTCCGTCGAGTCCTCCACGTCGAAGCTCTGGAATGTCACGTTCAGCACCAGCGACTCGTTCGTTCGGATTACCCAGGCACATTGCGAGTTGTGCTCATAGCTGTCGCTCACCGGCGGATACCGGAGTCGTCCAGTCAGCCCAGTTAGCATCGCATTGCAGCTGCTGAACCGCACATCGCATAGCCGACCCCGATAGCCCGGCTGGCACTGGCACACGAAGCCGCCGCCTCCAATCGAGGGCGTCGGACTGCAGCGTCCGTTGTTCTTGCAGGGCTGCGATGCGCACGAGTCGGGCAACGGATCGCAGCGTGGCCCATGGAACCCGCGCGGACAAATGCACGTATAGTTCGAGGGGCCAGCATCCATGCAAACGCCTCCATTCTGCAATGTTCAAGAAGCAACTTTATTCGTTTGCCAAACCTGGCCCATTGGGACTGATCCCACTTGTCTATCGAGGTTCGGATATCTCCGAGTCGGACACCCCGACTAAAGCAGTCTTAGCTCGCTAACTTTGATTGACGTGGCATCAATATATCTCAACTCGCCATGTCCAAAGTGTTAAGTGTTAAGTGATCGAGCTAGTTCTTAGTCATCTGTTTATACGGACTGACAGAACACGCCTAAGTTAAGCAGAGCTAAGAAGATTATGATCACAGCTGCAAGTCTGTCGACTGTTTAATGTCGATATTTCGGAGTCTACTTTTCAGTGCTCAACTATAGGTGATCCAACTATAGGGCTTGGCTCCATAGCTGTGAAAGGTATAGATTTCCCTATCTACCATGATCCCAAGAGACCTAATTCTATATAAATATGCATATATATATAAGTCTTATCAATCAATGCTTACCAAACAGGGCAGATCATTGCAGTTTTTGTTGGTGCCGCGGATGCAGCCGGTTTCCCCGTAGCCGCTGCCCACCATGCCGGCGGGACAGCTGCAGATGATCGTGTTGGAGATCTCGGAGCAAATGGCCGCCGGGTGGCAGAGCGAGTTGCGCTGCGTGCAGCTGGTGTAGCCAATGCCATTGGGCGAGCTGTTGCCGTTCCCATTCTCATTCCCATTCCCGTTGCCGTTGCTGTTGCTGTTGCGCTGGCAAGTGCGTCCGTCGCCCGTCCAGCCGACGGGACATTCGCCGCAGTGGCTCGCGCCATAGGTGTTGATGCACTCGACACGCGGACTGAGGCTGCAGCCACCGTTGTTGGTGTCGCATTCGTTGATGTCGCGACAGCTGACGCCGTTGCCGGTTAGGCCGGGCGCGCACGGTGCACAGGTGAAGCTGCCCGGCAAATTGATGCATTTGGTGGAGCAGGGCGTGTGCGCAGCCGCTGTGCACTCATCCACGTCCTCGGTGCAAGTGGGCGTCAGTCCGTTGCTGCGCCAGCCAGCCTCACACAGGCAACGATAGCCCATCGCATCGCTGCTGGGCACGCAGCTGCCGTGGCCGCACAGCTCCCAGGTGCTGGCAGCTGCACAGTCCGTCTTCCGCTGGCTGCAGTGCATGCCGTGCCAGCCGGGCGCGCACATGCAGCTGAACGAGCCGAACTGATTGACACACTGGCCCCCGTTCTGGCAGCCCAGGTCGGTGCCTTCCAGCAGGGCGCACTCGTTCACATCCCGCTCGCACCTGCTGCCCTGTGGGCGAGAGAGGGTAGCGCAGTTAGTAGCAATGCAGCAGACGCCCCTCAATACGCCCATCACTTACCTCAAAGGCGGCAACGCACTGGCAACGGTATCCGTTAAAGGTGTTCAAACAGGTCCCGCCATTCGCGCATGGATTGCTGTGGCAGCTGTCCAGCTCGACCTTCGTCTTCAGCCGCTGCACCTTGTTCTCCACGACGCGCAGTCGCGAATGCAGACGACGCAGCAGCACATTGCTAGCACGTGTCCTGCACAAGATCGTAAGCACAAATCATCACTTTATGGTACAAGTCGTAAGTCGTACATCAAACATCGTACATCACTCTATGAAACATGCCATGTACACCTCGCGTGGCTTCTATCTACACAGCTAGTGCATAGCGCATACCTGGCGTCTTCAATCTAGCTTCATGCCTCATACATTCCATGAAAATCTAGATGCACCGTTCATACATCGCACATACACTGCCACGAACACCTTACGTACATCTTGTGCAAGTCTCTTGTGAAGTAAGGTGCATCGGTGACCCCAACCATTCAGTCATATTATCGTACATATTAGGTATCAACATTATCATTTCATCATCATTCATCGTCATTCATCAGTCGTACATTTATATAAATTTGTACATCCCATGTACATCATGCACATCTCTCACAACATGCTTAGGCTCAATGTATTCACATACGATGTACATACTCCTTCTACTTTCATCACCGCATTCATCATACATCAGATATACCAGATTCTGGTAACATTCCTTCTCCCGTACATCGCATAGGCGCTATATACTACTCGGACGTACATCCCGACAACATGCCTTGTAAGTTCCACATACTTCCCACATACAGTCCACATACGTCCCATTGAGCTTACCTATTTTGCAGCTGACGTAATCTGCTGTTGAGTCCATTGGGACCGAGGGCTTGGGATCTGAATTCAGTTAGCTGATCGGCAAGATCGCGCAAATCGACAATGTCATCGACGCCATTCCACTCGTCCTTGGCATCGCCGCCTGTGGGTCGCTTCTTGCTGCCACTGATGGGCATCAGCAGGTCCAGCACATCGTATTCCTCATTAATGACCAGCCGGGAGCTGCCGCTCAGTCGAAAGCTGATGTTGCGATTGGCCCCAGACTCGAATATCAGATTGCCGTCCTTGCTGATGATCTTGGGCCTGCAAATGGACGCCAAATTGAAGCTCGAATTGGACCGCGTAGCTGGCGCTACTTACGAATTGACAAAGCTTTCCACGGAGCCAACCACCAAGAGGATTAGTAGCGGCAACAGCAGCCGCTGCTGCAACTGGCTGCGTCCTATGCGGCTAAGCATAATTCATAGTTCGAAGCACACAAATAGCAATTGAATCCAGTTAAAAAAAACGATGGAATTATTTATAAAAATTGTAATAATTTCGGATCCTGCTGCACGCGTTCACTTGGCTCGGCTTGCGATTGAACTGTGTCGCTGTCGTCGCACGCTGCCCGCGACGTCAGCTGCGGGGCGTTTCCGCGATGCCACATGCTGCACGGTATACGCCCACCGCTCGCCAGATTCCGATAGCCTGGCAGAGAAGCAAGTAATACGACTAGACTAAACACCCTTAGTCTGGGCTTGTTTCGCTTAAAAGGTACAATTTATTTCAGAGCAAATCTCTACTGTTCACTCCACTTGGAAGCTAATAATATCTGGTGGAGTGGCACAGACATAGACATACATACAGGTAGACACATATTCAACTATGCACATAGTTGGTTCATGGATATACACACTATATATATATTGGATTGGATTATATTGTATACGTTTCGCCTTGCTAATAATGCTAACTTCTATCGCTATGCTCTTTCCCGAAAAACTATGTTAACTTAAGACTTAAGTAATTAAGTTCCGTTTGTTAAGAGTTCATGCTTATGCAGAAGCTTCTCCACTTTCCAACATAATATTCATTAAAGTACAACAATTTTCATTCATTTATTTGTGATTTCGTATCTTAAAAGGCGAAAATATATCATTTTTCATGAGTATTTGGTCACTAAAGTTAGAAGATAAGCAACATTGGAAAGAGCATAGAAGCGACGATGTATGTCGATAATATTGTTATTTGATTATTTTACAAAATCAATTTCTAAAAAATAGCAGAGCAGACTCATCACTATGTGTGTGTGTGTGTGTGTCTATTACAACTGTTGTTTTTTTTTGTTTGTTATTTTCAATAGTTGAAATGTTCGTTTAAGTACAGCTAGACCCTAGTTTAATTCGGATTTTGAGAACGTGCCCAGAAGTCTATTCGGTGTGTGTGTAAGTTTACAAATGCACAAGAAATATACTAATGAATATATATGTATATATGGTAGCGAGGAACTAAAGATCGGAACTGAGAAAGTAAAACTAAAGTTAAGATAAGTTAATTATTGATCGCATATTTTTTGGTCTTCAAAGTGGACAGTATTTATATTTCATATTTCGTGTTGTGTGTTTTGGAGTTTGGCATTTCATTTTTAACTTTAAAAAGTTAAGTTCTAAAGAGATAAACAAAAAAACTGTCTATGGAATATGAGTGAGAAGTCTGCATGCATACATATACAGTGTATAATTCGCAAAATATATAATTAGAATCACAATAATGAAATGACTTGCGTTAAGAATAAAAGTACACATAAAGGTAATTGGTTGAAGTTTCGGCCAGGTCCACAGTTCACATATATATATTTGCTTTGTTTGCACTTTTGCAATTTGGCCAAACTCTCTTTGCACCTGCCTCTACTACTTTCATCTTCTCAAGCTATACAAATCTAATTACAGTAGACAACAAACACGTACACAATAAATAAATTAACTATTACATACATACATATATATATATATATATATATATATATATATATATATATATAGATTACAATTGAACTTTTTGCTTAGGTTGACTTTGCTTTGCATTATGCTACACTTATTTGAGTTCGCTCTATCTCTCTTCTCTCTCTTTCTCTCTCTATCTGTCTCTCCACTATATTTCCCTCTTGCTCTGTGTCGTGTTGCATGTTGCCAGTTGCCGCTTGCCTATGGCATATCTCTGAATATCTATAGAACCAGCTTATAAGTTTTATTGCAGCCTCCAAATGCATTCTTTTGGATTGTTCAGTTGGTTGTAGGCGTGGCCTTGCTCTTCGTCCTCCTTATATGCTCTGACTTGTGATAGAGAAACTTGTAGCTGGGCTGTTTCTCCGTGTACTGGGCAAACTTGTCTGCAAAATGACAAACATTTTTGTAATTTTTACATATTATGCAACTAGCTGGAGTCCAATACTCACCGAAAGATACATATCCCAAATTTGCTGTGTCCAGGGCATAGAAAAGCGCCTGCGTCTTTTTCTCATTCATTTTGCTGCCGCCATGCCGCATTAAGCGCATGAAGTTCTCCCTGCTGATCTGCTCACTTGACTCACTATAGAGCTGTAAAGGAAATTAAGGTAGCATATAAGATAAGCGATACCCATTGAATCATCCATTTCATTCTACTCCTACCTTGATTAGCGCTCGCAGAAACGTTATAATTTCAGAGTTTTTCAATTTGCAAAACAGCGAACAGACCAAGAAGCTTTTCAGACTCACTGTGCCCTTGTTACGCTACATATATAACAGATAGATAGACTATTAGTCAGCGAATATATATATATATCACAAATACACCTACATGATCCAGCAGGGCAAAGAGCTTATGCAAATTGGGATTCTTGAGATCCACTTGGAGCAGCTCGGCAAATGTGATTATGTCCAGTTTTTCTGCGTTGGCCAGCGTTAGATACTTGTCACACAGTTCCATGTCGCGCTTTGAGTCCAAGAGGTCAAGAAAATCGAGCGTATGTTCGATCTCCACAATGTCACCAGGGAAGGGAATTTTCATTTCACGTGCCCGACTCATAACGATGACATCCTCAAACGAGTAATCGGACGTGGGCACCTCCAATGCGCTAAAGATACAAAGATATGAAAAGATCTGTTTTCTCTCGATCTAGAATATAACTTACTTGGCCATTACTTGGCGTACATTGTTTGCATAGAGATTGGGATCGGCCATTTCAGCGGGAGACGGCGTGTAAACGGGCAGGTATTCTATTTCGCAACGATTATAAAACTGGGTCATGGTCAGCCACAGCAGACGCAATCTGTTTGCAAAGTAAATGCTTGAGGATCGTGTACAAATAAATATTCGACTGTTGAATACACTTACACGCCGGGCCCGTCCCAGGTCCAGGTAAAGGTGTCAAACTTGTTGGGATACCGGAGCAGCACTGGTTGCACGGGCACGCCCGGATAAAAGGCGCCAGACTTAAATTTGATTAATGCTGTGCGATTAGTGCACGTTCCCTCGGCAAAGATCACCACCTGCGGCCAGTTGTCGGTCGAACGGGCACGATCAACAATATTCCTTATGGTGTTCTGCCGGGAGTTGGGATCTTCTCGCTGCACATAAATGGGCTGTGCATAGTTAATAATACGACCAAGCAGCGGAATGTCCGCTGTCTCACGCTTGGCCACAATTGACGGCGGGTGTCCAGAAACCACCAAAATGGAGTCAACATATGACGAATGGGGCGCTACGACCAGAATGGGAGCCTCCTTCGGAGTGGCCGGTGTGCCCTTCATTTTGATGTAGTGAAACGAGCCGGAAGTATAAACCATGCGCATGGCACGTGCTGTCAAATACTGCAAATACCTGCGGACAAGATATAAAATATGTTAATCTCTGCCTGGATGGATCTAGCTAAGCTGTGCCTTACCTGCGCCAGCCGGTAAGCGGCTTCGCCTGCAAATCCTCCATGGACATGCCATAGAGGCCAATGTAAGCGAACATCCATGCCGATAGCAGAGATAAAACGCATCCCACCACGCGTATGGGCAGCAACAGCACAGTCAGCACATAGATCTGCAAGGGATAACCGTGATTAGCGCCATTTCAGAATGAATACAAATTAAGCACGCTTATCGTGCCCTGGTACGATAAGGCAAATGATTTTTAAACTGAACTTTGAATCGACACAACCGGCAACCGGCAACCGGCAACCGGCAACCGGCAACCGCCAACCGCCAGCCGCCAGCCGCCAACCGGGCAATGTTTCTAAAACAAACAAAATAATACTATGTGGAACCAACAGCTGCGAAATTTGCTCGCTTAAGTTAACTAATTGACGTGTACGCTAAAGTTCAACATTCTGT